GGGCAGCATCCTCATCGGGTAGCGCGTTTCTCTGCAGCGCCCGCAAGGAAGCATCTGCATTGACCCGCAGAGAGAGAAAGAAAAACGCAAACACGTTGGTTGCAGCAAGCTGGCTCAGCGGCATGGATTCATGATGCGTTTCGTGGAGCATTTATGGGTTAAAAACAAATATATACGGCAGATGTAAACGCAATATAGAACGAGAGAGCGGGGTTTGTATATTGCTTAGCAATAACATATAGCGCAATAGACCCACCAGTCGCACTAGTATGTAGTCTGCAGTAGGCAGTACAGCAAATAGGTTTGCTGATTTGTCTTCTGGGAATTTTTTGTTTTTTTGTTACCGATATTCTTCACGGTGATTAAGATTATTTCGCGTTATGTATTATACAATTCAGCTTCGAACTAGGACCCCTGTCCTCAAGGTAGAGTTGTTGACTGTATCTTCAGCCAGTTCCCTAGCATCGGTTGCAAGCAAGCCTGACACTGCTGATTAAACACTATACGTCAAAACCTGTTTAACCAATGCTGCGCAACTTGAGCACTCCCAAAAGGCCTCGTGGTTGATCAGAAGTTTAAAATATGCTTTTATATATGTATTTGAAGGGACAGGTGCGTGCATGAGATATGTTGTTTTATTATTTATCCGATGAGACATTTGTTCTGTTCCTCGTGCGTGTATTTCTATCTGGACACGCGTGGTTCATCTGAGATGCTGAATAGAATTTTCACAGCATTCCGGGCAGGATTCTTGATAAAAGTGATGTTTTACGGGGTCAAAAAAATCAATAATTTACTCTATTGTTATTAGACAACTCGGATGCTGCCATGGTGTGATGGTCAACACACTGAAACTTATACTGGTAGGAACCACCTGGTTCTACCAGCCCACAGGGGATTATTGTGTCCGTCCGTCGTGCATCCAAAAATGGGAGGGGTGGGGCTGGGTGGAGAGGGGAGGGTGGGGAGGGTGGGGAGGGCTGAGTGGGGAGGGTGGGGAGGGGCTGGGTGGGGAGGGTGGGGCTGGGTGGGGGGTGGGAGGGGTGGGGCTGGGTGGGGAGGGGCTGGTCACCCCGTGGTGCCCTTATAAAACTCAACGTTTAACCTACTCACGCCGGCTTGTGCCCGCCCTCACAGTCGGCCATATTTGCGGAATACACCACGCCGCCGTTGACCCTGGCCATTGACCGAGCAACCCATCGTTCCTACCAGCTCCCTCCGTAGGAATGTGTTAAACCCAGAGGTCAGCTGTTCTGTAATCTCTCATGACTTATATCCACCCAGCAGAATAAATAGTCGCACCACTAATAGTCGAACGACAGGTCGACTGTGGTGGGGTAAAGTGTGGGCATTCTCACTTTTTCCAAGTCATCTGGATAGTGTAGAGGAGTAGGTCAAATATCCTCTTCGAGGGGGGATTCTCTCCAGTGCTCCCTCTAGTGGAGGTCCCTTGTGCATTTGCATGGTGGCATCTTTACCTTTTTGCCTGATACATAAGCAAGTGTTGCTCCAGTCAGAGTTGATTAAAAAAGAAAACAATGCATCTCCCGTGGACAATGTAGGCTCGTGCGCATAATAAAATAAGCTGAAAGTATTTCCCTCGACAGCTTTCGCGACCAATAGTATCCATAATAGAGGTTTCGTTTAAGTGACAAACCCCTTACTAACTGGCTGTGTCGAGAGGTGGTGGGGTTAACGACACATTTCTATTTACGCGATTCAACCCAAAAGCCTCTGTTATGGATTTGCCTTGACAGTCGTGGGAATTTCGTGATAATAGTGGGATATTTTACACGAATACAGCATAGTGCAAGTGACACGCCGTGCCCTGTCAATACGCTTCAGTCACCGTGATCCATGGGACGTTCGCTCGTAAGTAACGCCTTGCCGATTGGCTGAGATCGCGTCGTACATCTCCCTGCTGCTCTTCCTCAAACACTGACCTAAATCCCCCCGTTTCCTGGAACCAGGTTTGAAACTGCACAGTGGCTCTCCGTCTTCCAGTGGCATCGTAGCTCATTTACTTCGGTGTGATCTTCTCACGCATTGTGTGCTTACGGTACATTGCTATTGACTCCAAATTTTTTGGAAGGTTTATATAAGTGTGCCGGCACATGTGTCGCGAAAACTCACTGGGATAATCCCAACGATTGTCTCTTCATCATCTCAGAATAACTTGTAATGTCGCCGTTGGATGCGACTGCCTTTGTTTTAAACCCCTTTGCTACGTCTTACACGTATATATTTTTAATAAAGGTCACTTTGCCCTTCAAATGAGCTGTACTGCTTTTTCCTTTCGTTTGAAATAGCCTTTTCAAGCACCAATGCAAGTGGAATTAATTCACGACTAGAAAAAAAATTGTTCTGGAAAGCCAATAGGTCGATGACTAAAAATTACCTGTTTTTCTATGCAGAGACACACAACGGAAGACTGTTTATATTTGCCATGGCCCATGATGCACCACAACAACTAATAATTAGCATACATACAATATTTATTTCATTGACAATGGCCCCATGGTTTAGATGGAGTGATATAGCTGATAATAACTGGCAAACCAGCAGCAAATATTTGATAATCCTACTTCGGCTAATTTCACCCAGAACGTTGAAAACCTCTCCAGAGTGTCCTTGCATAAACAAATGCAGCTGGATAACATCAGTCTGGAGAGCTCATAGGCTAATGGACAAAACTTACAATATATTGATATGGGAAGACACAACATGGGAGTGCTGTTTTGAAATGACAAGAAACCTGAATTTCACCTGCAATTTTAACAGGTTTTTTGGTGATTGAGATGACTTCATGGCCTCTGCTCAGTCACTCATGACTGGTTTGGTCACCTCGTGTTTGACATGGTGCACACACTTTGCCGGGTATATGACAAGATCGCTCCTAGGGTGGACAAAGAGACTTGTTAAAATCACGCCACACTGTAGGTAGAGCCCTGTGATTTCATCTTTCGGGGTTGTGGTGCACTGCTCACTATGAAAGTTATTTTTTAAAATGTTCTTTGTCTTATGACACCCATAGGACAATTAGAACATAAGTGGGAGAAAAAAAATAACACACTTTTTCTGGTTCAGCAACAATTGTCGACTCATTCATACACTGGCGTGTAGTCCATCTAACTTGTTGGCCTTGGTTTTATTTAAGTCCCTTTTGATAACTTAATGGCCTGCACAATTGCCAAATTTTGAGTGACACATTGGCACAGCTTTGTTGATTAGATATGTTAATCATATGGGACATGCACCAAAGCATCTCCCTTGTAAATAGCCGGGCAACTGACTTAACTGGATCATCCGTGTGACAAATCAAACAAAGTAGAATAAACTCAAACACGGGCTCAATTAATGTTTTATGGATAATGTTGGCCCTGCCATGGAAATGTGGAGTCACTAACAGTGGTTACCAAAGCCTCAGAGGTAATTTGAGTTTAGAGACATTTCGACTTTGGCTTGTTGTGTATGTACAAAACACGAAGTGCATTTTTTTATTCATAGTTATAGAGAGATGTACAAAATATGATATCACAAAAAAACGTGCTGCGAACAATTATTGAGGATCTCTGTGAAGGACTAATTGCTCACGAAGGCCAGTTTAGTCAAGGCATAGTGTCTATTGAAGGTAGACACAATGCAAAAATCGAATGGCTGTCACAGACAAATTTAAAACTTTTAATTATTGAGAAAAAAAGGCTTTAAAACCAGTCTGGATCACTCCAGTGATGGAACGGCTATAACGGTATATTAAAATACCAAAAGTTAATCTGCAGTGATGCTAATAGATTATTCATGACTTAATTTTTAGTTTCACTCACAAAGTTTAGCGCTCAGTGTCCGAAGTTCCAAATCACACAGATTGGCTGTCTTTCCGACAGCCCTGTTCTTCACCTGAGGATGGCTGCTTGCGTTGTGGCTGAAACATCGGGAGAATTTAATATTATTATGTTTTATTTTTATTATTTTATTCTTTCCCTTCTACGTGACTTTACCGGAAGAACCAAGAATATGAATCCATGCAGTCACGAAAGCTTTAAATCGAAAAATAAGAAGAATGCTTCGTGTTTTTAGGTTGCACATTGTATTTAAGTGCTGAATGAGTGCAAATCCATATCCCTATTTCCCTCTTGTACTTCACAGCCCAATGTGGCTGCTTGCAAGCCACCGTGTCCACAGTCGACTGCTTTCATTTGATTGCATGTGACCTCACGTCGTGAAAGGTATAATAAAGCCCAGCCCTGCAAATTGCTTGCTCACGCCACTGCTGGCAGAAGGGCTTCCAAAAGAGGGCCCCACTAGAGGGTCAAAGTGGCCAATGCTCCCACAATGGATAGATGAATTAGAAGCGAACGAGAGTACCCACACTTTACCCCACCGCATAAACAACCTATCGATCGACGGCCTGCTGTTGCACCCATTTGTACTGCTGGGTGGACAGAGGCCCCAGGAGATGTGAGGATTTCTAAAAAAACTTGGGCCATTGTTTCTGTGTGTGTATGTTTGTACATATGCTGAACTTATCTCGCACCGTACGTAGCCAACCGTGCTAATCGGAGGTGCTGGGGAAGGACAACAAAACCAAACACAAAAAGCAGTTCTAAAGAAATGAGTTTTCGATTTAGATTTAAAAGGGCATAGCTCCAGTGGCTTCCTAATATCAGAAGGAAGAGCGTTCCAGACGACCACAGAAGAGCATCTGAAAGCGCTCGTTGCAGTGACAGCCTTTGTTCGATAGTTAACCAAAAGCCGCTGCTGTGAGGATGAGTGGAGTTCGCGCGACGGCTCATGCCCCTTGACGAGATCAGTTTCAACTTGCCAGCTGCCGGGGAGACGAAAATCGAACCTACGACCTCGCGGGCAGTTTTCAGGTTCCACCGTGCGAACCGTCACCTTGACCGTGTGCACAGAGCCCAAGCGGTTGCTCTGCCCGCCAAGGTGTTTGTTGGGTTGATCGTTGGGGTGGGGGGACTGACGCTGTTGGTGTGCTCCTGCAGGAGAGCTGCGCTCGAGTGCTCCTGTTCCGAGGGGCCAAGAAAGACGTGCGCAACTACAACAGTCAGACGCCCTTCCAGGTGAGCGCATGGGGAAAGCGACACGAGGCTAAGCAGTGCTGGATTAAGCTAGTGCGGGGCCGGTAGCATGTGTTATAAAGGGGCCCTAAAAAAAGTACGTATTAAAACACATACATTTTTAACTTGCATAGCAAAGTTATTGTTTTTTTTTCATTTGCTATACAGTCAGATAATACGACAGATCGCTAACCTTAAACACCCAGTCGTTCAGAAAAGTTTAGGGCAGTATAGTACTATAGTAATAGAGCAAGTGCAGAATCACTGAACCGGAATTGATTGCTTGAAAGCATTTAGCGCGGGGCCCTTGAAAGTGCGGGGGCCGTAGCATATGCTACTTTTGCCGGGAGGGTGGTGGGAGGGGGTTACAAGCCCTCACTTCGTCTGATTGGTTCCTTCACTTCAAAGTCCGTGCTCAGTGGGCGTCATCGTCGCAGTGACATAATCGCAGTAGCCACGACGTTGTGAACATTTTAGTTAATGATGCTCTAACTTTGCCTCCTTTTGGGTCAGATTTAGCAGAGGAGAGGAAAATGCCACCCTTCTTGTAATCGATTTTGGGAGGATTCTACTTGCGGTGACATTTGTGTAGGATCGTCATCGTTTTTGAGACGCAAATTGACTTTTGTTCAGCCAAGTAGTAATCTGTGTGTAATGACTGACTTGGAGATGTAACTCTTGGAGGCAATTCTTTATTTTAACGCCAAGCACACTTTGTACACTACATACAATACGCACCCTACATTGTGACACAATGCTCTGTCTCTCGCTTAAACACAACTCTACTCTGGTTGCTAGCCTACAACACAACGCTAAGCCGTCTGACACTGACGGCGCTGAACTAAGACAGCCAACCACTGCTAGCAGCGCAATTATCAAGTGGACGACGACAGCGATGAAGGCGACAGCAGCAACGACGACGAGGGGATCCCACTCCAACGACGGCCCCGATCCCCTGCCCGGGGTCCCCTTTTATCCTGTTAGCGTGGCCTCGCTCCGCCCCGGCCACGCCCTCCTTCTGGAACCTACGAGTGGGCTCTCGACGCGTCCCCTCCGTAACCTTTACCCTAGATCCCTCTCGGGTTTGTCACGTGGTCTGCTGTCAGTCAGGGCTGCTTCACTCTGCAGATCCCCTTCCCTGCCAGCAGCCAGCGCTATGCCACGTAGTGACCAATTCTATGTCACTACATATGTATTGAAACATCTGCATTAGCAGTGCCTTTTAACATAAATATCACCAAACCCTTCACAGCCATTCCATTTGCAGAGAATGCCTTTTTTGAGCAGAAACTTAAAATATCTGGCAGTCATTATTGTTTCGTAACCATAGTGTGTGCCGGTGCCTCATGTTTTTTTTTTTATAAATGCATTCAGTCCCTCACTGTTGCAAATAAATAACTGTTTGGAAGCTGTTTCCCTTCCCGAGATACACATTGATTTATTTGCGCACAACAGAGAGAGGAGAGAGCCCTTTGGCTGTTTCTTTACACTCAATTCTCGCATTATCAGGTCTTATTTTTTTCCATCTCCCCCCCCCACGCCCCCATCTTCTTCTTCACTTCTTCACAACCTCTGCTGCGAGCCTCTGGGGGGGTGAAAAGTCGCAGTGATATCTGGCGGCCAAAGTAAGTAAATAAATAAATGCTGCCGGGTCATTAATCTTCGTCCGGCAAACAAGAGCCAAATGATTTGTCATGACCTGGAACACTGAGGCTTCGCGCTCGTTCCACTCGACCCAGGCCTGTCATTGGGTGCAGCTCAACATTTAGGAGGTATGGCCATTTCTTAAAATAGTGCCCGCTATAAATTTAGACACTCCACCTGACAGCACTTATGTATAGCCTTTGGTGCCTTAACCTTTTCACCCAAGGCATAAAACATTTTTTTTGCGATGTCTTTGCCACCTGTGCACGTAGCCTCATAAATAATTCAAGTAAAACACGCCGTAAATACGCCCGGACGATTAAAATGACCGAATAAGAGAATTAAACTGAAAGAACTAGTCAGCGTGTCAGTTTCAGAACGCTAATGATCCCACCGCAGAATGGTGCATGTCTTCAGTGCAACCACATGATGACACAATAGATGCTATGTGTTTTTTGACGAGTCCACAGTGGAATCTTCAATACAATTAGCACAGTCTTGTAATTGAACCAGAACTAGCTAGCATAACGATTATCATATTGGGATAACGTGGTCTCGTTTACGGGTGTCGGTAAGAAATTCTTCCAGCGACCACGAAGCATATTTAATATTCTATAGATTTTTAGAGAGCTTTGTTCAAAGGTGCTTTGCAAGAATGGTTAAATTGTACTTAAGATGATCGTGTTGAAATATAGAGTGGGGTTATTATTAAAAGTGGTGGTGTAGTTCTGGTGACAGGAGAATAGGTGGGAGAGGTTAATGGAGAGTTGGGGGTGGGGTATGGGCAGTGATAGAGGTAGGGGTAGTGATAGGGGTAGTGATAGGGGTTGGGGTAGTTATAGGGGTAGTGATAGGGGTTTGGGTAGTAATAGGGGTAGTGATAGGGGTAGGGGCAGTGATAAGGGTTGGGGTAGTGATAGGGGTTGGGGTAGTGATAGGTGTTGGCGTAGTAATAGGGGTTGGGGTAGTGATGGTGGTTGGGGTAGTAATAGGGGTTGGGGTAATGATGGTGGTTGGGGTAGTGATAGGGGTTGGGGTAGTGATAGGGGTTTGGGTAGTGATAAGGTAGGGGTAGTGATAGGGGTAGGGGCAGTGATAAGGGTTGGGGTAGTGATAGGGGTTGGGGTAGTGATAGGTGTTGGGGTAGTAATAGGGGTTGGGGTAGTGATAGGGGTTGGGGTAGTGATAGGGATAGTGATAGGGGTTGGGGTAGTGATAGTGGTAGTGATAGGGGTAGTGATAGGGGTTGGGGTAGTGATGGTGGTTGGGGTAGTGATAGGGGTTGGGGTAGTGATAGGGGTTGGGGTAGTGATAAGGTAGGGGTAGTGATAGGTGTTGGGGTAGTAATAGGGGTTGGGGTAGTGATAAGGGTTGGGGTAGGGGTAGTGGTAGGGGTTGGGGTAGTGGTAGGGGTTGGGGTAGTGATAGAGGTTGGTGTAGTGATAGGGGTTGGGGTAGTGATAGGGGTTGGGGTAGTGATAAGGTAGGGGTAGCGATAGGGGTAGTGATGGGGGTTGGGGTAGTGATAGAGGTTGGGATAGTGATAGGGGTAGTGATAGGAGTATGCATTGGTGTAGGGTTTGGGGTAGCGGTAGTGATATGGGTAGTGATAGGGGTTGGGTAAGTGATAGGGGTAGTCATAGGGATTTCGATTGGGGTAGTGATAGGGTTAGGCCTGGTAGTATCTGTGGGGCGGGGGCAGGGAGTAGCAGTGGCAGGATGACGAAGGGCTAGGGATGAAGAGATGGGCGCTGTTTTCAGGGAGGAATGGAAGCAGGTTGTTTTGGTGAAGATGACTGTTTTATGTGCAGTGAGAGTTGGTTCCAGTGGAGGGGAGCAAGAGGGGAAAAGGAACGCAAGCATGACGGGGCGCAGAGTGAGGGAGGCACAGCGAGTCATGGTGCGTGTGGGGTTTTTCTTCTCCCTGGTATGCGCGTGTGTTTTCGCCAGGCATTACCAAGTTCTTTCCAGATGCAAGGATGCATTCTTAAAATCCAAATGCAGCAGCCTAACCCTTCCTTTTCAGAGTCTCGAGACTTAGTGAGGCTTTCCTGGGTAAATAAATAAATAAATCTTTCTTTGAATTTGGCTTAAGACGTAGGCTTTCGCGATCAATATTATTAATAATAAAGGTTTTTGGGTTAGATCACGTAAAGTATAAATGTGTCGTAACCCTCCACCACCCGACACACCCATTAAGGTTTGTCTACGTAAACAACGCGCCAATTAGTTACCAATGTTATAGATATTAGTGTTTTTTGTAGTTTTAAACCCGCCACCACCCAACACAGCCAATTGGTAATGTTTGTCACGTAAACAAAACATGCCAATTCGTTACTAGTCGTAGTACAGCACACCGGTGTGATGGAGAGTAAACCCACAACTTTTACAATTCGAGTACGACGTTTCGCCGGTAATTACAACTAGCATGATCACAATGATGACGTAATTACAACTAGCATCATCACTATGATGACGTAATTACAACTATCATCATCACAATGATGACGTAATTACAACTAGCATCATCACAATGATGACGTAATTACAACCAGCATCATCACAATGATGACGTAATTACAACCAGCATCATCACAATGATGACGTAATTACAACCAGCATCATCACTATGATGACGTAATTACAACCAGCATCATCACTATGATGATGTAATTGCTGGTGAAACGTCGTACTCAAATGGTTAATGTTGTGGGTTTACTCTCCAACACATCGGTGTGCTGTGCTAGTCATTGGCCCGTTTTTTTTTACGTGACAAACCCTACTAATTGTACTGTGTGAAGTGGTGGGGGGTTTAACGACATATTTACATTGACGCGATCTAATCCTAAAACCTATATTATGGATGTATGACACATATAAAAATCGATTCGCACATTAAATCGGGACCCCCCCCCCCCACTGAATGAGGACAATTAATGACATTCCGTGGAGGGTGAATCATTGCATTCCAATAAAAAAGCACATCATCATGAAAACGAAATGTTGAGGGTTTCCATCATGAGCTCTTGCAGACACGAGTGCTGGATTTACAATCTTCAGGTTGGGAATGCAAATCCTGGTTTGGAATCCTCTCATTCTATCATCTTTCTATGAAGCCAACAGTGGTCATCATGGTTTTTTGAGAGAATGGCTGCTGCCATATAAAATGTATAATTTCCACACCTGGTTCAGGCCAACCAATGGAGATGAGTAAATATGCCATTATACATTCGGGCAAAGGGGGGCACTCGTGATGTGACGTGACTTTGAACATTTCTTCGTGGAAAATTGGTCTTAATGTTTGGTTAGATTTTTCACAGGTCTATCTGATGATAATTTCTTATATACCTCTGTAAAAATTTTAGCAATAAAAATGTATTTTCCAGAAAGTAACATTTTACAAGAGTAGTTTCATTTTAATGGCTAATGATGCATGATTACTCAGATTTGTTTCCTTATTCTGTGATAAAAAAAACACGTGGAAATTCACGTGGAAAATTGATGCTTTTGATCAAGGGAAGCGCCAAGGCAGACATAATTAATGAATGTCTTGAAGGCTGACAGATCTAAAATTACAGTCTTTCAATGCATTGACATCCCACACTCTTTAATGAAATTGCCGGAAAATTATCACTTTCTTCAAGATAAAAATAGCAAGGATACCTAACGAGTCCCTGAGGATGTTGGCTCTTACGCTCGAAAAAATTCTGAAAACATGCACCGTGCCACAAAGTGTTTAAATAATACATGAAATATCTATATATTATTATCGTTATTTACCCACAAAAGCCTCAACTGACTCTTGAAGACTCTTTTTCATGAAGGCCCTGATGGGGATTTTCAGGCTAATTTCTGGCAATTTTTAGTTTTTGTTGAATGTATTACAAACCTGAGACGGAAGATAACCCTTGCATAAGAGTAGAAAATTAAGGAATTTTGCCCAGAACTAGTCACAATCTTAACACCTTTTGCACGTACGTGTCTTTAGAAACGTGCATTTAGAGTATTTGGTTGCTATAAATGTCCACGTGATAAGCCACTTTGTTGAGCTATAATTTGTGGCCGGGTCGCTTCTGAAAAATAGCGATGTAGCTCAGTGGGCCTTACCTGGTAAAATGAAAAAAACTTGTTTAGTTTTAGTTTTATCTTACAGGGTTTATGAATTATTTAACAGCACATGCTGCCACAGTGTGTGTGGCAAACCAGGGATAATCTTCATTTTGTAATATATTTTTAGATTAACATATCTGCATATAGTATATATGATCATGGGTTGATGTATGTAGATATTATTAAGTGTTATAAATATTAATTCAAATTGCCAGCTATCAAATACTGATTCGAAGCATAGGCACTTGCACAGAAAACAAGCAATATATGAAGTGTGCTTAACGCAGAGTGATGTGTGGTTCAGGGAACAATGCAAACCAAAGACATCACGTCGATTGTTGAGAAAAGTAAGTGGGCTTGGGCAGGACCCATTGGAACAAGGCATGATGTACGATGGATGAGACTAATAATGGAATGGCAGTCAAAGTAGAGAATAACACATTCCTGCGGAGGGAGCTGGTAGGAACGTTGGGTTGCTCGGTCAATGGCCAGGGTCAACGGCGGCGTGGTGTATTCCGCAAATATGGCCGACTGTGAGGGCGGGCACAAGCCGGCGTGAGTAGGTTAAACGTTTAAGGGCACCACGGGGTGACCAGCCCCTCCCCACCCAGCCCCACCCCTCCCACCCCCCACCCAGCCCCACCCTCCCCACCCAGCCCCTCCCCACCCTCCCCTCCCCACCCTGCCCCTCCCCACCCTCCCCACCCAGCCCCTCCCCACCCTCCCCTCTCCACCCAGACCCACTCCTCCCATTTTTGGATGCACGACAGACGGACGGACAGATACAATAATCTCTTGTGGGCTGGTGTAACCAGGAGGTTCCTACCAGTATAACCACCGCAGTTAGGAGTGAGATTGATTATCACTACCCCAAACCCTATTACTACCCCAAACCCAACTCCTCATTAACATCTCCCACATATTATTCTGTCACCATCACAACACCAACACTTTTAATAGCAAGAGCCACTTTTTTGGGAATTTGGTAAAAAAAATCTCAATCTTTAAATAGCCGCAATGTGAATACGTCACGAAGCAATCACCGAAGAGCCGGACACAGCTCTGGAGCCAGAGGTAGCCGACCCCTGGATTAAGGCATCTATGGTCCATGAGGAATGGCGAGAGAGTGCAGAGAGGCCTTCATACAGCAGGTATTAGACAATGGCTGATTATGATATATTGGAGAATGAGAGTGTCTTCAATCACGCTGCATTTCATTCAAAGATGAACTTGTCTGATTTCTGGCCATTCCTAACATCATTTTGGTGATTTAAGTGGAGTCAACTCAGCGCAACCACTGGGGGGACAAAGGTGGCCATGAAAAATGTTATCTACCCCACTCAAATCGTGTTGTGCAGCATTAAGTCCTAGGAGGTTCTTGCTAAAAGCAATGGTGCCCCCGGCTTGCCGTCTATAAGGCTACGCGGAGGATATTTGGCGTGGGTACGCATCCATTGTTTTGTCATTTTTTACGATCTATCTTTATTAATATATGCATTTTAAAAAATGTACTGCAAACTACAGTCTGCGAAATCACCGTCACAATGCACAGACAGCCAGATGTGAACATTTCTAATCTGAAGGGCCTGCTATCATGTATTGTTTACAAGCCACATTGCTTCACGAATCGATTGTTCTGGCTGCTTTAGAGTTGTGTGTGCATGTGTGTGTTGGGGAGGTGTGAAAGTAAATTCATTAATATTATTGCTATGTTGGACCTCTCCTGAACATTTCCCTCCCGCGCTACATTTCCATTTCGTCACCTCGGCTTTTTAAAATACATTTTCTTCGCTCTGCAGGAATGGGTTATTCCCAGTTGTAGGCGGACACATTTAGAATTCCCACGGACTGCAGGAGACACCAAACAAGAGCGATGTTTGAGAGTTTGGTTCTTGACACAGATATGCATCACCTACTGCTCATCCAATTGCCATTGTCTCTCAGAATCCTGGTTTTTTTTACAACTCTTTTGTTGATTCGTAATTGGGGTTTTGGGTTAGGTCATGCAAAAAAAATGTGTTGTAAAACCCTCCTCTGCTCAACAGCCAATTAATCTAGAAACATGCTTTTAGATTATTTAGATTACTTGGCTGCGATACATTTCCACGTGATAAGCCACTTCGTTGAGCTACCATTTGTGGCCAGGTCGCTTCTGAAAAAGAAGCTGATAACTCAGTGGGCCTTACCTGGTAAAATAAAAATAGTTTAGTTTATTTGTATGGTTTTTTTTTACCTTTCCTATACTTTTCAACTCCTATCCTTGGTTTTTTTGTATTGTTTGCTGTTGTAATATTTCTGACCTGCCCCTACAGGACATCTGTGAAAAAAAAGCTTTATACCTCATCGGATTCCTCTAGTGTAAATACAAATTCTTATTTTAATGATAAAAGTGTCACGTGAATTAATAAACGTGGCCTAATCTATTCCAGCTTCAGCCACGCAGACCGGTGTTGTTGGTGAGGAGCGAAATCTGACAACATTTACATGGGCGTGGAGTTTACATCGAGCATCGTCGCCTTAACAGCTCAGATCTTGAGTGCTCTGTGTTGGGTGGATGAGGGTTTACGATGCATTTTTTTACACGACCTCGGCCAACAAACTAATTATGACTCATACTATTGGTCGTGAAATCCTCCGTAGGAAAATGTTACTCTTTTGCTGTACTCATTTCAGTCATTGCTATTTTCATCATCCGTGCAGGCACTATTTGCATTCTCACAGCTGCTTGGCAACAGTCCACAGTGACGTAGCATTGAATGTGGAATGCAATTATACATTTTGTTCAGGGGGTAAGCTTAGCTCCTGACTATTAGATTATCCATCCGCAAATGGTTGCATTTGTGTATTTTGTCTCACCCGTCACAATTGCGTGTAAAAACCTAACAATTGTCCCCCACCGAGAATACCACGTGCGGGAGTCAAGGGTGATCATCCCCCGGGAGAGACTGGCCTCCCCGGTCATAGACTGGCACAGGTAGTCCACTGCCTTATGCTTATATGAGCAGGGAGATAATTAAGCTCTGGTTTTATTTTATCATTGGTTTGAATTTCAAAATGTCTGACAATTTGAATGTTAAAAATTAGGCCAGTCTCAGCACAGTGTCGTCAACACAACCACAGCCCATCATGAGTGCCCCTCTTTCGCATGCTCTCGCTTTTTTCTTCACCGTCTGCAGAGGCGATCACACTCGAACCCTTTATAAACCCAATCCCGTTGTGCTCTATGGTGAGCGACGACAAAAACCTCGTGCGGGACGATTGAAAAATGCACGAATGGTCGCTTTCAATCGTGCAATTTTCTTGTTTACTTCTCCTGTCGCTGGTGAGTTTTTCGACGGCAGGGCGCCGCCGCTTCGTCCGTCACGAACGTCAGCACGAGCGCATGACTCTTTCTCTCCGAGTAGCGACGGTGACAGGCCCACCTTGAGGCCAATTTCCTGACAACCAGATGACACTCACGGCCACGGCCCCGATAGCGCGACCGGCTCTGCCACGGCGCTAAGTGAGATGTTGGACCACGCGCGGCCGAGCGCTGACGTCTTCCCGTTGTCATCGCCAGGTGGCAATCGTGGCCGGGAACTTCGAGCTTGCCGAGCTCATCAAAAACCACAAGGAGACGGACACGGGTGAGCGTCGCACTCGAACCGCGGGGGGGATTGGCGGTGTGCGGAAAATGTGGGCGTGAAAGTAAAGCTGTAAATCGTTGGGTGGGCAAATGTTGCACGGCGATTGTCGCGATTGGCTACATGCGGTGCAAAAGAAGTTCAACATACACACATACATTGTGAGTGCGATCGACAAGGTTGGTGGTACATGTCTGTAATCCAGCACTGCGGAGGCAGTGAGGGTTGGTCGATCGCACACATGCTGCGAAACTCACTTTCTGTGGGCGTCGAGGTGGTGGGAGAAGTACAGCAAGTACACGTGAATATTATATGTCTCTTCTGAATGGGTTTTCTCCGATTGCTCTGGTTTGCTCCTACTTGTATACGCTCATTAATTGGCTGATAACACCTTAATAGAGGACCGCAGAGCTTGGGCAATCGTGCGTCAGCCTCTTCCTGCTCGTCTGTGGTTCCTTGTGCTTTTGAGTCATGCTCTGTGTCTTCAGGAGTGAGCGAATGCCGTGTGGCACTTTACAATTTGACATGATTATGGTGTGCTTGATATCGTTGCGCAATTGTCCGGGAAGCATTTCTTTTTATGGGAGCTATTTCAGATGCGAAGGTAACGAGCCAGCACTGCTGAGACCCTGGGTTCAAATCTAGGGCAAGTAGCCTGAGATTTAAGCAGGGTGTCATGGAAACCCATGCGATTGTCTATAGTCAAGGAGCACAAACCATCATGCAAACTCGCAGCGGCTTTTAGCTATCCATCGGACAGATGCACTTTTGCGGCCATATTCGGAAACCGTTGGAGCTATGCACTTTTAAATTTAGTTAAAAAACTCATTTCTTTACAGCTGTCTTTTCTGATTATTTTGTTGTCCCTCCGCGGCACCTCCGATTAGCACAATTGGCTACGTACGGTGCGAAAGAAGTTCAACATACATACAGCTTCATCATCGATGACTGCACAACACCCCCCCATCCCCGCCATCTTCAATCCTCTTTGTTTTTTGCCTAACCCCTGTGTGAGGCATATAATTTTGCAGATGTGTCGAATGATTGACGCGTGATACACTAGTCTCTGCACACCATGAGCGATGGGTGGTGTTTATTGTTATGGGAGAAGGAGCCGATTGAAGATGCACGGGAAGCTGTAATGTGTCACCTCTCTGTCGATTTTCCCTACAGCCAACGTCTCTGCTGACGTAAGGAGTTGTTAAAAATAAATGTAATAGATAAGCATAGCTGAGTTGGAAAACACTTGTTTTTGCTTACAGGAGGGCCCTATATTCTATTTGTATGTGATGACTGCCTCCCCGAGGTCAAATAAACCCAACATATACGGAGGGGTTCCTTTAAATGTCCATTTAGATGGGTGGTCGTGTTCCCACTCACTCTACTGCCATCCTGGCACCTTCAGAGCACAGCGGATTTTGGAGTCGCAAAGCATCCAATAATCTCCTTGCGATCTACCAACGCTGCCACCTCCACAGCCCTGAATTGCTGGTGCGCACCGCCAGCACTATCACGCCTAAATCACGTTTCTTCTCTCTGTGTTTCCGTCACGCACATGGTAATCCAAAAAAAACATATACCATTTCTTTCGTCCAATTTTGCTTTAGTTGGTGTAATTTTGCTTCATTTAGGATTGATAGGAATGGACCAATCACATGATCTAGCTTTGCTTATTGGAATTTGGCGCATTTTGGAGTAAAATTACTTCTGGATAATACGGCTGATTGTGAGGGACTGAGAAATATGCTCCCAATGGGATAGAATAAGCAATTCTACATGTGGGATTTCAGCGTAGTTGAATTGACGCTCAGATTAAAGGTAATCCCATATTCAGGATCATATAATGGAGCGAAGGCAAACTGGTAGGCACGCACAAAACACAGCATATTTGTCAATAACACTACACCCTTAAAAGATTAAAGTAATTGACGACATTCCGGACAATGACCCTTCTTCATAGCGAGGCCAGAGAATCAGAGTGGGTAAGAGTTGGAGACTGCACTTTAGACCATAGGGGACGGTAAGTGCACTTCTATCTGAACGCAGGAGTTTCATTCCTGGTCATGGCTAACGTCAGTGGCGAGTGATTTAGTTATCCCACCTTCAGCAACTCAAACTGATCGTATGTTCCAACAATCACTCATCGACCAGTGAATCTTTTCATTATGACATACTGGAAGTAATAGTCGTAATTTGCAGCCATTCTCAATCCACTACTTGATTAATACCTCTCAATGCGTTGTCAGCCATTGAGATTGACCATACACGCTGGTTAGTGTGTGTGTCAAGGTGCACATAGCCTGGCACAAGTGTCGTGGTGACGTCACCGCCACTTAGTGGCGAATGGCGGTTGTTGTTGTTGTCGTGGGTAGCGGTAGTGTCGCAGTTAGCGCTACGCTGCACTATGAACCCGACGACCAGAGTTCAATTCCCGCTCACGGTCAACACCAGTGATGATTATCTGAACCGGTCCTGGGCCTCCCCGAGGTCGACTCAGCCTCAAATGTGTACCTCGTGTGGTGCGTAAACATCGCCACGAGGCAGACAAAGGCGGTCGGGCGTGGTGCTGGCCACCCACCCCCTCGTGTACCGTTCCGGCCTTCATAGGTGCTCGCTAACAGCACTTGCCCATACAGTCTGTTCAGGCTATACGGGGGATCTTTGTCTTTGTCAAGTTGAACATAGCCTGGCACAAGCGTCGTGGTGACATCACCGCCACTTAGTGGCGAATAGCGGCTGTTGTTGTGGTTGTCGTGCGAAGCGGTAGTGTCACAGTTAGCGCTACACTGCGCTATGAACCCGACGACCAGAGTTCAATTCCCGCTCACGGTTAACACCAGTGATGATTATCTGAACCGGTCCTGGGCCTCCCCGAGGTCGACTCAGCCTCAAATGTGTACCTAGTGTGGTGCGTAAACATCGCCACGAGGGAGACAAAGACGGTCGGGCGTGGCGCTGCCCACCCATCCCCTCGTGTGCCGTTCTGGCCTGAATAGGTGCTCGCTAATAGCACTTGCCTCAACAATCTGTTAAGGCTATACAGGGGAGCTTTGTGTGTTGGTAAAGGGGGAAGCCCTTAGGATTGGTTCTGATACCACTCATCGCTGATGTTAGCCGTGGTCGGGAATCAAAGTTAGGTCACCAATTCGCGAACCACTGCACTAACTCGTCCCCTTCGCTATCAGTACGTAATTAAATTGGTACACTCCTACATTTCTGTATAGATCTCAAGTGCAAGATGAGTTTGTTTAACCAGGTGAGAATTCGTACAACATTATACCGAGAGGGGGTGGGAGGGGTTTGTAGTCACACAGTTAAAAAAAATACTACTATTCATATTCTTGGTTATTTCGATAAAGTCACGTAAAAAAAAACCAATAAAATAAAAAAACAATAAAAGAATACTACTTTTGAAATTGGACCTCTGAATAAGGGTGACCTGGAGCATCAGTTACTATATTTAAACATATAAGGAAATTTATTTTAGTTTAGCAATAACAAAACAAGGCCATTCCAACTCTTCCTCATACCATTGTAAGTACAGAATTATATTTCTCATATTGTAAATAGAGAGTTATCTCTAGATGCGATGCAATTTTTTGACGGACAGAAGATGTCATTCATGATTGAAGTTTAAAAGACACAAGTAGATGGATTTACACAAGTGGATAAATGTGTGCACTATGTTGAACTTCTTTCGCACCGTATGTCGCTAACCGTGCTAATCGGAGGTGCGGGGGGAAGGACAACAAACTAAACACGAAAAGCAGTTCTAAAAAAAAGAGTTTAAAATTTAGGTTTAAAAGTGTATAGCTCCAGTGGCTTCGTAATATCCGAAGGAAGAGCATTCCAGACAGCCGCAGAGGTGCATCTCAAAGCATGTAATGCAGTGACCATCTTTGTTCGATGGCTAGCCAAAAGCCGCTGCGAGGATGACTGGAGTTCGCGTGATAGTTTATGCTCCTTTATAAGATCAGCAAGGTGTTGTGGTTCATTTGTGGCAAGCACTTTATGTGTAATTAGTGCGACCTTATAATGTATTCGTTCAGCCACCGGATGCTAATGCAGCTCAGCGTGCATCAGGCAGTCACGGATCTTGTAGCACCCATCACGACACGTGCCAAAGAATGTTGTACATGCTGAAGCGGGTTAATGTTTTAGCCAGACATTCCATAGCGTAGTGACTTGCAATAATCGAGCCTTGTCAATACTAAGCAGTTCAACTGTTCGAGCCATACATAGCATTACGGACCAACTCAGAGAAGGCGTTGTAGGTTTTTCAGTAATGTATTTTCAAGGACCTGCCTTCTCCAGCCACCTGACCATATTCTCCACTGCACAGTAAGATGTTCTACGTGTGTATAACTGTTGTTTATGTATACATCTCCATGATAGCCCCAAGGGATGCTGCCATCGTGTAGCGGTGAGCACGATAAAGTGGTCAACAGTTTGATTCTGTCTTCGTGGCAGTTGGAACAATGGTGCACGTTTGTTAAATGCGCCCACCTCTTGTCAACCGAGCGAGATCAGTGGGTACACCAGTTAGTCATCAGCAGTCGTTTGTGGTGGGGCAGAGTGTGAGTACTCCCAATTAAAGGAAACGAAAACTTTTTTCCAAATTTGACCAGGTAAGGCCCACTGAGCTATATTGCTCTTTTTCAGAAGCGACCTGGCCACAAAATGACGGCTCAACGAAGTAACTTATCAAGTGTATATTTATAGCAGAAAAGTACTCTAAACGCATGTTGATTTTAAATGTGAAAGGAAAAACCGGAGGAACTGGAGAATATTTCACAGGACCACGGGGAGAGCAACATGCAAACTCCAAACATACAGGCATCAGGGTCGGAATCGAACCCACGACCTCCTGCATGCCAGACAAGGTAGTTGACACCTCGCCACCGTGGCACCCTGTTCATGCAAGACATCTGGCTAGTGTGGAACAAGAGGCCACACAGTCTCTAGACCTCCCTCTAGCAGAGAGGCCCTTCCGACAGCAGTGG